TTGTCCTGAAATAAAAATGCTGATTCCTTGTCAACCTTAATTATATTTGGAATTTCATCTCCTTATTTATTTAGGAAACTCAAACCTACTTAACCTCTAGAACATCACTTAAGGTTAGGCAGAAGAATTAATATTGACAAAATATGAGGTTACACATTAAAAATCAGCCAAAAGAGAAATACTGTTACATTATCAGCAAAATTGCACTAGCTGGGTTCATTCAACACACTAAATTACAATATAATTGAGTGAATTCAAGTAATTGTGCTTTATTCAACCATCTATAGTTTTCTAAAGCCCCAACTTACATGTTATATAAATATAATCCCATTTTAAAAGGTACAGCTGTCTAGAAGCAGTAGTATATTTTACTTTTAGAAAATTGCTCTGATTTCTTTTACTGAATAGGACAAGAACTGTGGTTGTAAAAATGTATGTGAAACTGAGTAACCTCTGTCTTTGCTGGCCTTTTTTCAAAGGGGAAATTCTTAACAATTTTTTTGCCCACAGTATATATTTTTTGTACTTCTGCAAATTTGGGGTCTTCACCAGCCTTTTTGCATGTGGATGTTTTGGCTACAAAAACATTTCATCTGTACATAAGAAATAGAAGAAAATACCAACCATTAGAGTACATAAGATTAACACAAATGGGCAGATTCTTGCTCCTGTAGTTTGCAGCATGACTTTCAACTATAGGCAAATAAGATGTCATTAAAAATTGCAGTGGCCTATGTTTAGTTTTGTTTCCTTTTAAAATGATTACTGCTGACATCTGCATTTTCTATAAAAGCGGATTCAGATATAGATTTGTCTGTGAGTTTTAGCCATTGCATGATAATTCTTGCAGCTTATAGTGAAAGCCTCTACTTTATATATTAACCAGGTAAGTAGCTTACAAATTAAAATTTGTATGCTACCATAACAGCAAAAAACATAAATAATGAACCTACTTTTTTTTTTTTATCCGCACTCAATCGTTACCGATTCTGCAGTGACTGCCTGGATGAGTCCCTGCAGTTTTCAATGCAAGGTGTTTCGGAAGTGGTTTGCCATTGCCTCCTTCCTAGAGCAGAGCACAGCTGGCGAGCGCAGGAGGTGGGGTTTCTGTTGCTTTGTGCCTTTTTCGGGCGTACGCGGCTTCCGCATTACCTGCAACTGCTCCCGTCTCTTTTGCAAGGCGCCGCCAGCATTTTTCCTCCCACCGGGGTGAGAGTACCCATTCATCTACTCACGTAAGTTTTCGAGCTGCTGGGTTGACAGGAGCTGGGGAGGAAGCAGGAGCTCACTCTGCTGCGCGGAGCTGGGCTCGAACCGCTGAAGTGTCGACCATTTCTGGCCGACAACTTTCAGCATCATTAAGCCGCTGCACCACCACGTCCCCTAATGAACCTACTATTATTATCTAATTATTGCAGTAGCATAGATGTTGGAAAATCATAGATTTTTTTGTATGACGGTATTTTTTTCTAGCTGTAAAATATGGATGCATAGTTTGTTGGCTTTGTTGTATCACTGCAGGTCTTCAGAAATCAGTTTAATAGTCTCAGATTCACTTGCAGAAAGGAAAATGTTATGTCTGTTGTATCTGTTTACTTTTTTATCTGTTCAGTTATTAGTAGGCTGTTGGCAGAGATAGCCAGTCTACCTGTTGGTACCTGTTGAACAACATCTGTATTTACTGTATGACCATGAGATTTTATCATTGTATCTTTGTAGTCTGACCTGGCCTATAAACACTATATGTTGGTTTAAGAATCTGATCCACACTCAAACTCAGAGGTTTAAAATTAATCAGACTTTACTGTTATGCCCAAATTGGACTACTGTGAAAAATAAAGATCTTAAAACTTTCTGTTTTAGGGTCTTGGGTTTTTTTTTTTTTCTGACTTAGTAATTGTAGTTTGCTGGTTAATTGAAAACTTCTTATGCATTGCAAAAAACTTACACTTGTGTAGGCAAAAGGGTCATACATATAATAAGAACATACAGTAGAATAAAACTTTAAAAAATCAATTAGAGTAGTGCCAATACTAGTATTGCTTTTCTAAAATACAGCTAAAACTTAAACTAGGCACCAAAGTTCCTCTTGTGCCAGTGCACATTTTAGGAAAACATTTAATAATAATCTTGATGAAAAGTGAGACTTTATTTGGATTAACAGGAGAACTGGAAATAGAATTGGATACCTCCAATATTTATAATATAGAATTTAGTTAGATTGATTTCCTTTGTCTAAAATAATACAGTGCATTATCTTATTTCTAATGGAAATTCATATAAGAACAACATATTTTAATAAAATGGATTTTATTTTCAGAGACGAATAGTGATGAGAAGTCCCACTGCAGAATACTGGAAACTTCGGGTTAGGATTTTCATTTATTGAATTCTAGCTCTTTCAATAGATGTCACTATTTGGTTGCTGCTATCTAAGTGGATATCTACTAACTCCAGAAAGGAAGAAAATAGTAGAAGTACATTCTGAAAATGGTTAGTGTTGATTAGATCTTGCATAGATCTGTTTAATTCTTCAAGCAGCAGCTCAAAAGCACTCTACAGGAACATTTTAAAAAATTCTTGTAATAAAAAATATTAATTTTTCACTTAGTATTGTAACCTAAGTACTCTTTTGGGTACAGATCATCCACCTTTTTATTCCTCATATTTATATAGCTGCCCATCTCATAGAATGTGATTTTTTTTGGTGTACAATAAAAACAAACGATGCAACAAACATTAAAACACTCCATAGTAATAATAATATTTATTAGTTTTCTAGACTGGTGAGTTCTTTCCAACATTGGTCAGTCAGTTATCTTTGAATCCCAAATCTTTTTGAGTTTTCCAAAGGTATTTTGTCACCGGAATATAGAAGTTTCATTTAGGTAATAGACAAATATAATTTATCACGGCTCAGTTTTTGTTAGTGTTCTCCCACAACAGCTTTCAATGTAAGTCCTTAATTTAGCAGTCCCAAATGAGGATATCCTATGGCTTGTGAAACAATTTATAAAATGAAGAATTACTCTCTACTACTGAGTTATTTATTTTTAATTGATTGTACTTCAGTTAGTAAATCTGTTTTTACCTGCAAGAATTGCACAATGTGAAGAGAGACTGGGAAGCTTGGAGAACTTTTATTCATGTAGTCACCAAGAATCAGCTAAGACTTGAGGGGAATATAACATGTAGAGTAGGAACTTTTTTTTTCAATTGGGGTGTGTATATTTTTAAGAAATTATTTTTGACAGTTGGTGGCCTCAGAATGATTATGCCACTCAAGTAGTAAGCCTGGTTCTTCCAGTCCATTCCCCTCCCATTCTAGATATGTTATCAGAAGACTTAAATTTTCATGCCGTCAATCAGTGGCAAATCTTGTTTTGTACATTTGATTACGAGTTCCTGAATTTTGATAGGCCAACTTTTGGATGAGGTGCAAATAGCAGGTCATAATGGCCCACAATGGTTTCTTGTTATGGAGGAAGATGGATGCTTCTTTTCCTCTTTTTCACAGATGTAAATTTTTTGAAAAATGGATTAATTTCCAGATAATTCCAATGTAGAATTTAACATTATACATTCCTATTTGTTATAAGGTTTTGCCCAATTTTGCCATTGAATTCATTTTCCAAAATTTGAATGGCTTCAGGATAGTTAAAATATTAATCTTTTGTGTCAGCTTCAGACCTCATCTACTTTCTGTAACCTGAGGTTCTTAATCGGTACATTCCAGCATAATATTGAACCGTTTAGCTTGGATATCTGTTTTTAGTTGTGTGGAAATTCATGAAAGTATTATTGGTTAATTTATCTTCTAAATGCACTTATGTGTTGTTTAGGAATCCAAATGCAAATTTACAGATATCCAAGTCTATATCATTTATGCAAACAAGGTGTGGCCATGAAATGGTCAGTGAATAATGGAGAGGTTCCCTGACTCAAGCTATATAATACCTACTCATCAAGGGAAGAAGATTAGCATTACAGCACTCAGTGGTTGAAACTACTGTGGCCCAATTTTTAGAGTTCCTTGTTATTACCCCATTACCTGCTTTCTGTCTGATAAAAGGATTCTGGAGTACTTGAAAACTTGAAAGTATTCTATTTTGCCTCTATTTTCACAGGAGAAAAATTGAGGGAGATCCCTGAGCCTGAGCTCCACAGGAAGGGAATTTGAAGAACTGAGCCATATAGTAACAAGAGAAGGCAGTATTGACAAACTGAACATCAACAAATCATCAGGCCTGATGGCATCCAGCCAAAGGTTATTAAGGAGCTTAAAGCTGATGTTGTGGACTCCCTATCTATAATATACAACTTCTCCCTATACTTTGTGTATTTGAAGACTAAAAGGTGGTTAATGTACCTTCAGTTTTTAGGAAGGGCTCAAGGGAAGATTCAGAAAATATAGGCCTGTCAGCTTAATATCTATTCCAAGGAAGATAGTGGAAACTGCTATTAAAGATAAAATTACCAAACATTTGGAGACAAGATCTTGCTCAAAGATAACTAACATTGCTACATTAAGGGAAGGTCCTGTCTAACTAATCTACTAGGTTTTTTTTGAGAGTGTAAATAAAGATATGAGTCTGTAGACATCATCTCCTTAGATTTTCAAGATTAGATTTCCCTTGTCAAAGACTTCTCAGTAAGCTTAACAGCTGTGGAATAAAAGGACAGGTCTTCTTGTGGATAAGCACCTGGCTAAAGAATAGAAGACAGAGTAGGAATAGGTGGACATTTCTCACAAGACCAGTGCTTATTAACGAATTTTAAATTATCTGGAATCAGGTGTGACTAGGTGGAATAACCAAGTTTGCTGATGACATTAAATTGTTCAGAATGATAAAACTAAAACTGGACTGCAAAGAGCTCCAAAGGAATCTCTGCGCATTAGGGGAGTGGGTGTCAAAATGGCAGATGCCCTTCAATGTGTATAAGTGTAAATGGATGCCAAAAATCTTAACTAGTCATACAAACTAATAGGATCAGAGCTAGCAGTGACCAATGAGGAAAGAGATCTTGGAGTAATGGTAAACAATTCAATGAAGTTGTCAACACAGTGTCCATCTGCTGTAAAAAAGACCAACAGCATGTTTGGATAAGAAACTGTGTTGAAAATAGAAGATGCCAATATGAGAACGCTCTTATATAAATCAATGGTGCAATTGCATCTGAAATATGTGCAGTTCTGGTTGTCACACCTCAAAAATGATACAGTGGAGTTAGAGAAAGTTCATAGGGCAAGTAAGATGATCAAGGGGCTGGAGCAATTTCTCTATGAGGAAAGGTTGCAATATTTGGGGAGTTTTAGTCCAGAAAGGAGGCAAATGAGAGGAAACATGATTGAGGTGTACAAAATTATGCATGGTGTGGATAAAGTTTCCTCTTCCCAAAATAATAGAACCAGAGGCTGCCCAATGAAACTGAATTCTGGAAGAATCAGACAGACAAAAGGAAATGCATTTTTTACATAACATGTAATTAAACTTTGAAATTCACTACCATGTGATGTACTGGTCACCAGCTTGGCTGGCTTCCAAAAAAAAAAAAAAAGGTTGGAACAGTTCATGGAATTCTGGGGATCAGTGGCTATTAGCTTTAATGGCAGTGTGACTGCTTCTGAAAGCCATCTGCTGGGAGACTAGAGGGTTTCATTGATTGGCCACTGTGAGAACAGACTGCTGGACTAGATGGGCCAGGGGACTGATCTAGCAGGCCACTGCTTATTATGTCATTTTGGCTGGCTTAATATATAGAGATTCTTCCAAAAACTGGGGATTGTGGGCTTCTCCAGACAAAGTTATAGAAAACCCATAACAGAATAACATGTCCCTCTTCTCCCATCTTGCTCAGTTGTTGGATCTGTATCTCTTCCTGGAGAAGCCATGTGTGTTAATAATTGATTTAAGCAGATGGCAGCATGACTAATCAAGATTTGTCCATTGGGAAAAAAAATAAAATTGAATTTAAAATAAGACAAGGATTTAATGTATTAATTTACTTTTTTCTGTGTTTTTGTATTGAGCAATAGATCCCTTGTTTTGGTTTGTATTGTGTTTTTATTTTCTTTTTATGTATTTATTTACACAATTTATAGGCTGTGCAGCTCCCAATTAGAAATAATTAAAAATAAAGAAAAAGTACAAAACAAAACAAAAGAATTGTGAATGGCCCTAGAAACAACATAAACCATAGAAAGTCCATTCAACCTTTGCTTTGCCCTAGAACCTGGGAGAATAACTGGGTCTTTAATTCTTTAATATATTTAATAGCTTCCTGAATATTATCAAGATGGGTTTCAAGTTATGACAGTGCTGAAGAAATAACTTTATGACCAGTGCCCATGTTTATGACCTTCGCAGCATCCCTTAATCAAGTGATCACCATTACAATCTTGTCCTTTCCCTGACCTGTTGTTTTTATTTTTTTCCCTCCTTGCTGAGTGGAGAGATTGTAGAGGAAGGGATTACAAGAGAGTAAGCAGGCATACAGTAGGGAACACACATTGAAAGGAATGTGAAGGCACCTGCAGACCCAAGCATGCCCAGGACTAGGAGCTGCCAGCACACTATGCAAACGGCCCAGTGTATTCCCCATTGTGTGCCTGCTTACTCTCTTGTAATCCCTTCCTCTACAATCTCTCTACTTTATAAGAGTGGGGGGGGAGAGAAAAAATGGCTCAGGCACAGGAGGGATTGTCTACAGAAATTGTTTTTTTTTTCTCCCCCCCCCCTTTGCAGAGTGGAGAGATTGGAGAGGAAAGGATTACAAGAGAGTAAACTCTTTTCATATATAATACTAACCTGATTTTCATTTGAAAAAATGGCTCAGGGACAGGAGGGATTGTCTTCAGGAATTGTTTTTTTTTTCTCCCCCCCCCCTTTGCAGAGTGGAGAGATTGGAGAGGAAAGGATTACAAGAGAGTAAACTCTTTTCATATATAATACTAACCTGATTTTCATTTTGATTTCTCTGTATAGGTTTCCTAGAAATGCTTGAGTTGATTTCAGTGATTAATTTTATTGATTTATATGTCACATTTATATAGCTGCCCATCTCACACAAAGCGACCCTGTCTTTGATATTCATTCTTCAGCAAGATGCTTACATGAATTTAAAATTTCAATACAGTATATCATATTAAATAAACATTATGTGATGCATTTATTTTATTGTGAATGTTAGTATAATTCTGCCCTTTGCTAATATTACATCCATATAGATGTATGTGGTAGTGATTTACTAATTACTTTCTTATAAGAAATCTGTTGAAGACCTATTTACCAAGGTTTGGTAAGGCAGTCAAGGTTTCCCTGTGTGCTACTCACTGTCATATTCTTGGTCATTCCTGCTTAACACTGTTATTAATCATTTTGATATGATTTAAAAGAGAAAGTTCTGTATAAGTAACATCAAAGTCATTGGAGGATCATGGATTTGTTTTAGTACTGGAGTGTTGTATTGCTGCAAACTTCTGTAAAACCAACTTTTTGTGGGTATTTCTAATGGGACTTTCCCAACATTGTGATCAGATTATGGAAAGGAGCTTCCAGTGAAGTCTTAAAATATAATATTTTGAAATACAGGTAGTCCCCTGGTTAAGAATCCCAAGTTTACAGATGACCCATAGTTAAAAACAGAGCCTATTGTAGCAAAATTCGAGTTAAATACACAGTGGTTCGAATTAAGTACACAATGGTTAGAGTTAATTACACAATACTACTGATACAGTATTATATAATAATACTGTTCTGGCTTACATACAAATTCAACTTAAGGACAGACCTTGGGAATGAAACTTGTTCATAAACTGGGGACTACCTGTACTTAAAAATGAAGTAATAGGAGATTGTTAGCTATTCTTGAGTACAAGAATGTTAATAGAAATTAATGAAGAACTCCAGGTATGTAGGGTAGTTAATTTGGCTATAGAGATTATGGAGATTTAGTTGTATGATTTTCCATTAACCTATTTCTCACTTGAGCTGGCATGTATTATCTATGGAAGAAGATGCCATTAGCCGAAGAACTTGGCATACTATTCCTGCATATGTGCAAACGTGATAATGAAACTGCAAGAGACGTAGCCGATACATTTGTCCTTCCCGCAACTATCTTCTCCTTCCCTGTCCATCCAGGCTAAACATAAAGGTCTAGAAAGTATTTTACTCACATTCAAGTGAACCTGAATAAGAGCCTTCTTCAGATCTATACTTAGCATTTGCAGATCAAGGTTGTTAGAGTGGGTTTTGTATGAACACCTATGCCTCCTGTCTACTTTTATCACTCTTGTGAATCATCTCAACAGCTCTGTGAAGTACTGGCAAGGCAACCAAAGTTGTATCATGGCAGACATATGGAATGTAGCACAAATTACTTTTTTAAAATAAAAGAAAAAATAGTGTATTGTGACTACTACTACTACTATTTTATTTCAAAATGGCATAACCTCTTATTTATAGTAGGTTTGATTTCTGACTTGCTACATTGGAACTACTGAAAACAGGGTGTTATAGGAGGAGAGCCATGTTAGTCTATGTTGGCAAGAAAACAGGATGGAAATCCAGGTAATTAATCAAAAGGAAAGTATTCTAAAGTTCTTAGAAAAAATAGTAGTAAAATAATGCAGAATCCTTATAATGTAAATATAAACAATAACCTTTTAAAGCCTGAGATAATACTGTAACATTTCTGGACAAACTCCTATCTAGCTATTTTGCATTATATGCATCCACATGATCAGATGCTTTTTTTTTTCTTTCTGTGCATATCTGGCATTTAAATTAGGCTGCAGTAATTAGATAATAATGAATACTGTATGTGTTCCTTCTTAAATAATTGAAGTATACACTGATCAATTCCTTACTGCTACGTGGATGAATAATTGATTGAAAGTACACAGAAGTAATTTTAACATATTTCTATAGATTATTTGGTTCTATTCTTGCCTTCTTGGTCTACTCTAATTTCATTTTATTGCATTTTTTTCCTTCCTTTCCTGAGATGGTTTATTGGTAATCTCCTTCCATATTTTCTGTAAAATCACTCTGATAATTGGATTACTCTGAAGGAAAGTTCATACATTACAGTAGGCCATAATGTGGCTTGTTTGGTTTTATTTAATGTACAGTGTTATATAAGCCTGGTCATTATAGTTTGTAAACTGAGATTTATGGTTTATGGGTATCAGTGAAACCAGCTATTATGGCTTATTCAACATAATTAAAATAAATCATGGTTTAATGCATTGTGTGATGTTAG